AACTATCTCCTCCTGACTGTTACAAAGCTCAGGACCAAAAGCTTTAAACACACCTACATGGCTTAAAGTAATCCATGCCGGATTTCCGGCGCGCTGCGTTTGGCTCTGAAAAAAAAGATAGGACTACATTGCCAATCAAGCTCGTCTACCAATGGAATGAAGGGAACGCAGCTTTTGCTCTCAACCAAACTAATACCACTAGCTAATGGGAAGAAGAGTGAAAGACGTCGAGATCCAGCTGCAGTTGAGTCCATACTGGAGTATCAAGGAGTTCTGTACGCTGATATCAGGATCATGGAGAAAGGTTCTTGAAGCCAGGGAGGACATCCTCAGCGATAAAGGAATTAAAAATAAATGGCGCTGGGCGTGGTTGGAAGAGTTAAGCAGAGAGGACAAGCCCTTTGGTTGCAAAAAAATGTAAGGAAGTGGGTGCTTGCTCAGAGAGCGCAGACCTCCACCAAGCAGCTCATTTCCACCATATTGTGATTTCCAGCCGATGTTAAAGTCCTGCAGTTATTTTATCAACATCATTAGCTTCATGGAGAATCAGAACATAGCTTTAGCATTTGAATTAACATTAATATTATTAATAACAAGCTGACGGAGGGATGAACGGTCATTTCGTACTCTCAAATATTTTGTACATTTATGTTATTTCTGCAGTTACTGGCTTTAAGCTGTTAGCTAGGTTGCTAAGTTATGCTATGCTAGTTTGGCATAACTACAGCCATGCTATTGCTAACATAAACAGACGGAGTAGCTTAAGCTAAGTTAGCACAACTTTAGCAATGCAACGTAAATGAAAAGCATGAGCGACACAACAAATCAGTTGTCGTGACTCATGGCAAAGAGAGTTAAAGTGAAGCAGGAGACATGCTGAGTTATTGTTCACGTCACAACGTCGTTATGAACGTATCTGACAGTAGCCCCGCTCAGCCCACTCCTGTGGTGCTGCCTGGCTGCAGCTTCCTGCTGCTCTACTGAGAAGACAGCGGTGAGGACTGAAGGACTGAATGGAGGCAGAGCTCCATCTAGTGGACAAACAGCGCAATGACAGCATTCTGTACAACTGTGACACTTAACAGCATTTAGTGTTTACTGAGAAAATAACCAGATAGTAAGCCAGAACATCACCAAATTTAATCATCTGTTCACTGGGCCGCTATCAACATTTCCTGAACATTTAATGAAAATCCGTTCATAACTTTTCGAGTTATCCTGCTAACAAACAAACAAACAAACAGATAAACGCTGGTTAAAACATAACCTCCTTGGCGGAGGTAATAAGTAGTGCAAATGGTGCACATATTGTTAAAAGCTGAGTCAGTGTCCTATACCCATGTCTTTTACTGATTGGTTGCTAAACAATATATTTGCACCATGTTGTAGTC